TATATGAAAGAATTTAAATAAAAAGAAAGTGCATTTAAAGTACACCCTTGCAATCCAATATTTACATTCACCGCATTTAAACAAACTATGCTTTTATACTTAGTATGCTAAATTCTTTGCGTTCAGTAACTCGTCGACTTCAAAATTTAAACGTTCATATCTCTTCGATACAGCAAAGACGACCGATTTGAACATTAAAAAATATGGAGGAAAAGTTACATTTTCTCTTTGACTTATATTGTAGTCTTGGAATGCATATTAAAACCACATTAGAAGAAGAAATATTAAGTAATAGTGAAAACTTAATAGATAATGGAACAAATAATGCCGTCACAAGGATCGTAGCGCTAAGGGTTCCTGAATTATGTCTGTTTTCTCTTGAAAATAAACAAAGAGAGTATCAAATTCGATTACAAAGTGAAAATCAACACACTTTGTCCTGCTTCAAAGTTATCTGTTATCCGGAAAACAACCATCAATTTTATAAATGTCTGATACTGATGGAGTTTTGGGAGGACGTTCTGGATTCTGCCTCTTCGAAAGTCAAGAATCCTATTGCTGGTGATATTGTTTACATTGGAAAATGAAACAAATATGTTAAATTTAATGGAATACATGAGGTTTTTAAAATACATGTTTAATACTTTATCCTCACAAACATCCGAAAGTGTTGACTTCATTTGTATACCAAAATACGAGTTATTTTGCATGCCAGAGAGGAAATTAAAAGAACAGTTTACTACGTTTGAGAAGTTATATTTTAGATTTCAAAACGAAATTGGGACTCCAACAGAATTAGCTATGAGAAGAAAAATTGTGGATATTGAATGTGAGATTTATAATTCAGCCTCATCGTCATTTACATTCTGTAGAATTTCAACGGGGAGTCGAAGGGAAGGTTTTAGAGTTGAAAATTCAGACCGCGATTATCTTTACTATTGGACGGATCACTTTGTAATAAGTCATCCAGAACAAGCAAACTCATATAACAAAGATGAAACAACTCTGATAATGATGGAGTATTGTGAGGATAGTCCAGGATCCGTCCTTCTCAGAGTCATTAATCGGTCTGAATGTAGGAAGGTTTGTGATAGTTACATAAAATTGGGAAAGAACACATATAATTATAGTTCAAAATATAGAGATTCTTTCCTAAACTTGGTAGTTCAGGGCTCACATGAACATGGACCTTGTTCGAGTGGCATTTTGAGCAATGGAGAACGCTATGATAATGCACATTTACGGGTATGTTCAGCTTTAGACATTTTATACGTACTTCTGACGGACATTCCGGAAATAAAATACTATATCGGTTATCTTTTAATCGTTAGAGGCTGTGAATATTCATATCTATGACGCAGTCGGCTTCACGGATTCCATTTAACTACAGTGGTTTTCTGTCATTGAATCTAATTAATCAGTCAGCAATGTCTAGGTACCAGTTTAACTGAAATCCTAAATAGGGCCATTTTCAAATTGAACACTTGAGCAATGGATAGTGAGTCGATTCTTTCTCAGGAAGTATACCTATATCTCCAATGGGAGATTGGCACTCCAGCACAAGTGGATATAAGGAGACAAACGAGGAATATTGAAGAAATTATCTTCAATTCATGTACAATTGTAGAACCACCTATTAGAGGACATGATAATTTTTTCCACGTGTCGACAGGAAGTCAGAGGGAGGGATTCAATTTTGAAGAGTCCGATGTCGATACTCTCTTCTGGTTGACTGATCACAAAGTTATTTTTCACCCGAGACAGGAAAACCTATACGACAAAGAAACATTGATTATGATGGAGTATTGTGGTGATAGTCCGGGATCCGCCCTTTTGAAAGTCAGAAAGTTGTCTAGCTGTAGTTTTGTTCGTGATAGTTATGTGAAATTAGAAAACGGAACGTACATGTCGAGTTTAAAGTACAGGGAATCCATCAAAGACATCATAGTTAAAAATTCACGATTACATGGACCTTGTTCAAGCTGGCAGTTGACTGATGGAATTTGGTATGACTATGTTCATTCACTGAAATGTGATATTCTTCCACAAATAGCTTCTTCATGGATAAAACGTTGTGAAACAAAGGGTTGGCCTGATTTTACTGTATTGCAATATGCCAGAAAAACAGGCTGTCATTTTGTTCCCATTGGTCGTAGAGACTCGCCAAATAAAGATTATGAATGGCGAATTTCCTTTAATCTCATTGAATTGAGATGTGTACACAGCATGAATCATGTTCAGTTTACTTGCTACGGCTTATTCAAAATTTTTCTCACCAAAGTAATCAAGTCATTGATGGATGATAAAGAACTATTGTGTTCTTACTTTTTGAAAACTATTATGTTTTACACAATACAAGAAAACGAAAAATCATTTTGGTCTCCAAGAAACTTGTTAAATTGTTTTTGGAATTGCTTTAAATGTTTAATATTTTGTATATATAAGGGCAATTTACCAAACTTTTTCATTCAAGAAAACAACATGTTGCATTGTAAAATTGAGGGAAGTGCTAAAGAGAAGTTGCTTGAAAAGCTTAATGTGTTATATAACATGGGTTATCCTTGCTTAACGCCATGTGTCTCTGAAAAATACATATTTCTGCAAACATCCATTCCTCTTTATTGGTTAAGAAAATTTCAATCAGATTACGGTTTATTCACTGAGATTCATGATGGCGTAGGATTATATGTAGAATATGCTCAATCACAGATCATGGCGGTTTATTTGCTTACCATGAAAAGACTTCTAAAAAAGAAAACCTTGACTCTTATTCAAACGATAGCAGTAAAACAACATATTTGTTCGTTGTTCACTCACTTGACATTCATCGTACTGAAATATGCTGAAAACAAACGCAGATTTTTAAAATCTGGTTTGGACTTATTGGAATTTGCAGCCAACCATGGATTCCTATCAAATAACATTTTTAAAGTGATGTATCTTTACAGAATGTCAAGATTTAAAGATGCTCTGGACAATGCGAGAAAGACAAATAAAAATCTAAAACAACCCCATGTGATTTATATACCCAAATCACCTTTACCAACAGAACCCGTTGACTACATGTATGACCAAGATAAATCATGGTCTTCAACGATTAGAGAAGATGTAGCAGTAGAAATATTTCTCTCTAGACACGTTACGTATTTAGAAGAACTAAGTATTGAACAGTATGTGGGAAAGATGGAGGAAATGCACCTCGTTATTCATCCATACGTACTGACACTTTTTCTCATTATCCTTTGTAACATACAATGGGAGAAGAAGAAAATCGCGATATTACATTATGCGAATTGAAAGATATACTTTATAATGATACAAGGGGATTTGTTCCTGATCCTTTGAAAAATTCCTCTTGGCATATCCTTGGGATTGCTCAACAATTGTCCGGGTATTATACGGAGGCATTTGAGTCGTACAGAACATCGCTAACTCATCCAGACAGATGTGTGATCTTCCAAGCTAAAATTATCAGAATACTGACCATCGTGTCTGATTTAAGAAACAAAAACGCCCGAATTGGTTTAAAACGTCACAAAGACACCGATTCAGAAATGGAAGGAAATAAAGAGAAAAGACCGAGGACAAGCTTTAATTAATTGCAAGAATAGTGGAAAATATTGCTTTAGCCCACCTGTGCCTAAAAATAGGATATTTCATGTTATATTGTAAATTATAAAGTCATACTGCATGTCTGAGCTCACCTGTGCCTAAACCTAGGATATTCCAAAATCAAATGTAACGCATGGCGGAGAAAAATTTTACAGGAGATGTTAAAATCGGACAAAAGGAATATCAAACAATTCTTATGAAGCAACGGATATAATTTTACCAGTGCGGGTTTCAATGAGAACGTAACATTTTCTAGGTTACATTAAATATTTTAGGAAAGGGGATACAAAAATATATCATCACTTTTCACATAATCAATTATGCTGGATAAATTGTTTGTACCTTTTATTTTTGCAAAGATTAAAAGATTATTTCTCTTGAGATTTTCCTTCTGAGAAGCTCAATGACCATTTTATTTTAAATAATATATAGATAAAAAGCCTAAAATGAAATTTGACTTTTTTCAAAGTACTTGATATTAATGTCTATAACATAATGTCGAATGTATATTTGTATTTATTGAGAATTATTGAACAACAACAGTGTTCAAATTACTTGTACATTAGCTAAAGTCATCTCATCGGTATAATACTGCTTGGTGATTGAGCCAATATAAATAATTGTCCCCCGCTTGAAAAGTGGGGGATATTAATTTGGGTTTGTCCGTCCGTCCGTCTTTCTGTCTGTCTGTAACGCTTTCGTTTCCACACGATATCTCGAGAACCCTTTGAGCTATTGCAATGAAATTTTACATAACAAGTCCCTGTGGCCTAAGGAAGACCCCTATTGATTTTGAGGTCCAAAGGTCAAAGGTCAAGGTCATAAATAAGCAAATTCTGTCTGTTATAACACTTTCGTTTCCACACGATATCTCTAGAACCATTTGCGCTATTGCAATGAAATTTTACACATCAACTCCCTGTGGCCTAAGGAAGATCCCTATTGATTTTGAGGTCAAAAGGTCAAAGTTCAAGGTCGTAAATTTATACATTCTGTCTGTGTGTAACACTATCATTTTCGGGCGATATTTCAAGAAGAATCTGAGCTTATGCAATGTAATTTTATACCAAAACTCCCTGGGACCTCTCTCACCCCTCTGAAAGTTACCCGCCCCGTTTGTTTTATTAGTATTTATAGTATTACATGTCGCTTTTTTTAGCACAGGGGCATGCGGAGAGTTATTGCGTATAAAACAGGGTCCCGTTTCACAAAACTATCTTATGACTAAGATCTGTCTTAAGACTGAAAATTATCGTAAGATTGCACCATAGCCGTTTCACGAAACTGTAATATCTTATGATAATCTTAAGATCTATCATAATCTTAATACAACTGGATACATGTCTTAAGTCTAAAGTGAAACTTGCGATATGTATTGCGACTATATATTTTGGATAAAACCAAAGGATATTTAAAGAAAACAGTTTTTAGAGATAGAAAAATCATTTGGACTATATCCGGCCAGTCAGAACAATAAAAATGAATTAATAAAAACATTAAAATAAATAAATAAAAAAAGACAGTAAAAAATGCCGAAAATCATACGATAGAAAAACTAAAATCTACGTACTTTGTGTTTTCCTCTTTATTCATTTCAAGACATTTCTCTTTGGTTGTACCCCCTCCCATCTGAAATTGCACCCCCCCCAAAAGCCAAATACATAATTCTTAGGATGATGTGCATTGTCATGGATTTGATTATTCCATGAATTTTAATTTATTTTGTTACAGTGTGGCAGACAATATATAAATAATTATTGTATTTCTTTTATATTGTGGTGATTTAATTTCAAAATAAACATTTTATTCAGTCGTACAAAATTAGATGAAAATAAAATAGTTTAATTTCTGAGGTATCATCATTAATCTACAGGAATGTGTATGACAATTCAATATGCTGTAATAGTTGATGCTGAATGTAATGCTTCTTTATGCCTTTTTATTATAGTATTGAAACCGTATGAAAATTGATTGGAATTTTTTCTCTCGTTTCCCTTCTTCATCTGTTAGCATCGATATTTTGTTGCAGTAGTTGAAGCGTCTCAAAGACACCTGCATCGAATTAATTTTATGAACGAACTTTGAACACGATTTGGTGTCTCAAAAGGAGTCATTGTTAAAATCGTACGTTACTTGCAAAGTTTTAGATACGTACACTAGTAGGTTTAATTAAAAGTAATCACACTTAATTAAAGTTGATGCTATAAAATGTTGTACCGGTAAACTATATAATGAGACAACATTATTTCAATATTTTAAAAAAATTAATGAAAGACTTCGTGAAAACATATTTAAAGAAAATTCCTGTGAAATTGAAGAATGGAATTTGTCATAAGACTTATCTTAAGATTTTTTATACTTAAGATAGTTTTGTGAAACAGCAATGACAAATCGTATGATTGTCATAAGTCAGATCTTAAGATGATCGTAAGATCTATCTTAGGACAAATCTTACGATAGTTTTGTGAAACGCGGCCCAGGTTCTCGGCAAACTTTATGTTCTTATTACATCTATTAGAACTGTTAAATAAAGGCTAAATAAATCAAACACCATGGATTGCGTAAAATTTTGACAATACCGAACATGAATATATACATGTATGTGACTTTACTTCTGCATATACTGTAAATCACGTTTTATTTGCGAGAACTTTATTTTCGCGTAATTACGCAAGACAATGAGCTCGCGAAAATTTCATTCTCGCGTTTAAAAGTATTCCTTATGATTATATAGAGTAAAAACAGCAATTCGTGAAAATTATGTCTCAATAATAAAGAATCAATGACTATCTCGCGAAAATAAGGTGTCGCGAAAATTTAGTGATCTACAGTACTTGACAACATTTAAAGCGATTCCGTGGTCTAGTGGTATGTCTCCCGCTTCACATGTGAGATGTCCCGGGATCGAATCTCGGACTTAATGATAGTATTCAGCATGTGAAAAGAAAAATTTATGAGGTTATAAAATCATCATTACAGTGTGATAAATATTCCATATAAAAAGAATCTTCTATACACATAATAAAGAACAAGCAATCAAATCTTCATACGCATATTGACATACATGTTTTTTATTTGCTTCAATATACGTGTACAATGTATACATTTAATATTTTTACAAATTCAGTCTGGGGGATCCGACTTTTTCCCTAAGCGGGGGACACGAATTCTCTGAATTAGCTTGTTTTAATTAAAATCATACTTCTTAGTTCTGCACCGTATTCACTCTTACACAGAGTGAATACGGATCGGATCTAAGAAGTATGATTTTAATAAGATTGATGATTAACCCATTGTTGTAATTTAATAAAGAGTTGTCTGGTCTTTCCTATTGTCATGAAAATAATTTTAAATAAACTTGTTTTAATTGTTAATAGATGTACTTTTTATTGGTATTCTGATGAGTACTCAGGTTTTAAACCATACATTGATTTTAAATAGTTGTCCAATAGTATGAGATGTTACATAGATAAAAACAGTTGGTGAGTGTACTCCTTCTCAACCCAGGTTAAACTCTTGTTACATCCTCAGAAGATTGCCGTTGTACATAAAAAGATAAAAAAAATGAAAATGTAGAGATTTATTCAACTTGTTCGTAGTAGTTA